TTACTTTTTGAAGATAATTTCATTTAAATGTTGACCGCGGCTGCGTCTTAGGTGGTCCATTCGGAAAGTCCAATTTTGGGCAACTTTTTCGAGCATTTCGGCCGGAATAGCCCGAATTTCTTCGGAAATGTTGTCTTCCAAAGCTGGAATAGTTGCTGGCTTATTTCTGTAGACTTTAGACTTGACGTAGCCCCACAAAAAATAGTCTAAAGGCGTCAAATCGCATGATCTTGGTGGCCAACTTACCGGTCCATTTCTTGAGATGAATTGTTCTCCGAAGTTTTCCCTCAAAATGGCCATAGAATCGCGAGCTGTGTGGCATGTAGCGCCATCTTGTTGAAACCACATGTCAACCAAGTTCAGTTCTTCCATTTTTGGCAACAAAAAGTTTGTTAGCATCGAACGATAGCGATCGCCATTCACCGTAACGTTGCGTCCAACAGCATCTTTGAAAAAATACGGTCCAATGATTCCACCAGCGTACAAACCACACCAAACAGTGCATTTTTCGGGATGCATGGGCAGTTCTTGAACGGCTTCTGGTTGCTCTTCACTCCAAATGCGGCAATTTTGCTTATTTACGAAGCCATTCAACCAGAAATGAGCCTCATCGCTGAACAAAATTTGTCGATAAAAAAGCGGATTTTCTGCCAACTTTTCTAGGGCCCATTCACCATGATTTGCAAGCGTTGCTCGTTAGTAAGTCTATTCATGATGAAATGTCAAAGCATACTGAGCACCTTTCTCTTTGACACCATGTCTGAAATCCCACGTGATCTGTCAAATACTAATGCATGAAAATCCTAACCTCAAAAAAATCACCCGTTATATACGTTTGTTTTTCTGTACATACATACAGTTTATGTGCATGAGTAAAATATGAACTACATACATTTATGCATGTATCCATATTCTTATGATTTTGTGTGTATCTGGCTGCTATGGCACATGAGTACGAGTACAATATATCACAGGCCGATCGGGTTTGACATTTGCTGTGTTTCCTTGGGCAATGATCGGAATCCGGGTAAAAAAATTTGTACGCAAATACAAGAACAACGATATGATCCTGTCTGAGATCTGGTTCAATTTATGATCCGCAGGCATTTGATAAACGATTTGGTAGCATCAACAGATGAATGTATACCCAAACAGATATTCTGCCATTTATTTCTCTTAACTTGATTCAAATAAATTGCCTTTCTTTTAAATATATTTTAAGTGATTATTATTTCGTTTAAATGTATTTTTCCGCATTTAGAGAGTTCATTTTTATAATTTCGTCTTCCTCGTGCTAGTAGTATAAAATTAGTGCTGCCAATCGCAATAAAAATGATCCAGATCGTGCCCGTGAGAAATAATCGTGATCCAGCTCAGGGATAATCCAAAGAAACACAACTATTGTTCGCCTTCATAAGAATTTTAACGCTCTTATCGCACTAAAAATGCAATACTGGTGTGTGTATGCCAAAGCACGAGGTGAACAAACCAGATATACAAATGCATGTGTATGGGCATGTGCAAAAATTGAGAACAGCGAGATGTTACCTTCAGTAGCGGATCTAGTGGAAATTGAAATTAGGTAATTAACAAGTTAATTCAAATGAACTCGTAAGGTGGTGTCACACGATTGGGCATTTGCCCAAAATTTTATGGGAACTGGGAATCCCAATGGTGTGAATGCACAAATATTTTGCTTTGTCTCAATCACGAAAAACAATTTGTCCAAATTTTTCATACAAGTTCGCTGTATTGTACCAATCGTGGACTACAAAAAACATTTGAGCCCCTTTTTTATTTTATTTTTTTGTACCAATGTCTGAGTACGACGGATAACAAGGATTCTGACTTTCACTCACGGTTGCCATTTTGGTCAAAATTACCATTTTTGGTACATTTTTTCTAGCTTGGGGCACTGGTATATAACTTTTGGATTTGGTACAATTTTTGAAATGGTACAGAAATATATAATTATTACATACACACATATGTAGGTACATAACACGTTTGGTATTTATTTAATGGGTCCATTATGAATGGCAACGCAACCTCAGCTTGGTTGCTGATGGGCAACGCCGTCTGAAATGAAAATTTATATTATGAATAGCGACTATAGTTAAGTTCTATAAAATCGAAATAAAATTTTGAAGAACGGGCAAATAAGACTAGAGTGTAAGTAAGCTGAAAAAACAGTTGTGGATATGTATATATGGGCAGATAATATACAAGTCTAGGTAAAAAAAAAATGTTATTTATTTCAATATTTGTTTATATTTCTTTTCAATATATGTTTGTATTTTCAAATATTTGTCTTCGTAACCATATCCAAGAGCTATGAAAATAGAGTACAATTATTCGGCGACCTTGCATCTATACGGCTGCAAGTATCACATTCGCTTAGAGAAGCAGAATGTTGAACGCACAAAACTTACGATTACTGTCAATGCTTGCACGTATCTTCGGGAAGCAGGTAACATGTGCATTTTTCGCCGGTTATTCAAGAAATTAACGACGTCTATCGAACTGAGAAGCAATGATCAATTCACTATACATAATGTTGTATAATGAATGAGGCAAGTCGAGCAATGTCGACGATGTTGCAAAACATGGTTGGGTTTGAAAACCGTTTACAAGAATAGGTACCCAATATTTGGTCCAGAAATTTTGATGGCGCATAAACGATTCTTAAGCTGGGATCACACGATTTGTACATCTGTACAGATTTGTACATTTTCACATCTGCAAAGTGGTGTTGTTTGGAAAGTTGTTGCACAAACCGTGTGGCCCCTGTCTAAGGCATTGCAGCTTTACATATACAGAGCAAATGCGTATCACAACAAAATTCCTTTACAAGCTACAGAATTGGCTCTTCTTCTTATTATTATTTGGCCCTGTAGCCGCCTAAGCGATTTGGCCGAGTTCAACAAAACCATTGGAAAGTCCTTTTCATCGCAGCGGGTGCATCCGTCTCCCTCTGATACCACCAGCGGATTCTGAGTGGAATACTTTCAGAGCTGGAACGTCGGTGCTCTTCAGATGCTTCATCACATCAAAAATAAAAAGCACAACTTTCAAATTCCTAATTATCAATATCATAGGCTAGTGATCGTATCACAATGTGAATTAGCTTGATCAATTTAGTCACAAGGTTTACAAAATCGGTTAATAAACTTTCTAAGAGTATTCGAATATACCTACTTTCTTCGTCCCTTTTTTCCACGTAACCTTAAAACACGAACAAATTACAAGAAAATAACAGCATGCCTAGGAAACAAGAATAAATTACATACAGACATCTAGAGGGCCCTGACCTCAATCCTGTGATTAAGACGAACGATATCTGGAAATCGCCTTCGAGGATACTTTAATAGATTGTAGACATTTAGGGGATTCACAAGTCATGTTAACCTTCGTAAAATCGTAAGCTTAACATTCTTTTATGTAAAGTAATGATTAAAATGGTACTAGAAGATTTTTAACTACACCGAAGAGTTTTTAAACTGATTAAACCTTTTTGTAGAGCAACTGAACTAAAGTTTCGGTGCTGCCACACATAACGAAAAAATGTACAAAAAACCACCAGAAACATTCAAAACTTGAGTAATGTATCGGGAATTTTTTAAAATATCGTTTTATATTAAAAAATCAGTTTTTTTATTCCAAACGTTCATTATGTATTACAGTATGGATTTACACAAAAAAGCACCGGAGCAAACCAAAGCTACATTTATTTACAAGTTGTAACTGGGTAAAATGCAATTTACACATTTAGGAGTGACAGTATTTTTGCTTAGTTATCCTCTCTGCCTTGGCGAACTGCGTTCACGCTCAAAAAAAATAAGCCTCATCAGTCCAACCTCGGCCCTAAGATGCTCTTTAATAATAAAGGAACTCTATTACGCGCATTCAACGGATAGTATGGCGAGATTACTCACTGTCGGTCTTTATTATATAAGTTTTTGGTGAAAAGTGCTAAAATTTATAGACGCATTTTACTTAATTAATTAATTAATGGTTATATGTTAAAAGTAATACAAACGCATTTGAACACTTCAGAAATAGTATTTTAGAAAAAAAGTGATAAATGGCGTTTATATTAAAATTTGGTGATAGTACTGTATGTAGATATTTTACCAACAAAATTTTTTAGATACGATTAGCAAAAACACTGTGGTAGTGTTAAATACAGTTAAACCAGACCTCCACTAACATCCGCACCGAGTTTCATAAAAAAATCTTCATAATTTGTTTGAAATAGTTAATGGCCCCATATTGGAAATTTCTGCTAATTTCAATTTATGTTTGAGCTTTAATTATATACTCATTAAATTTATAATTTCTTGTTTACTTGTATTTGAGGTTAAACATCTTTTTTTCGCATACTTCATGTAATCCGGCTACACCTAGGCCCATAACCCCCAATGTCTTAAATACCCTGCCGACTGCACAGCGCTTACCCGATCAGTAGGTCTCTCACAGCCACAACAATTCTCCGCTTGCCTTCACCTTGTCAATTTGCGCGCTCTGCACACACATACTTACATTTATGGTATGTACGAGCAAATCTGTTTATTCACTATTCACTCGCACGCCTCTCCTCCGTGTTTTTGTAGCATTGTTGCTCGTCGGTTCATCCGTCCAACCAGCCGTCCGTATATGTATGTACATACGTATGTATGTATGTATGAATGTTTGTAGTACGGGTACATTGCTTATTGCCTTTCATTGAGTATTTCGTTTTAGTAGTTGAACTCATCTTCGAGATACTTGTTCGTTTGCCTATAAATGCTCTACGTAGTGTCGACACGCGGTTTTACTTACGTTCATACAAGCATACGATTACTAGCAAAATCTTAGTTGTTTTGCTTATTTTCAGCGCTATAAATTTGTTCGTAGGTTTGTCGATTTGTTTGTAACGGCAAGTGGACGCGTGACACGCGAGTGCCCTTTATATACATACATACATAATTATTCACATTCACATTATTAAATAGACTGAGCATTTGTAGTGCATTAAAAGCAACAAGAATAATATTGAAGATAAAAATCAATTAATTCAATTACATCAATTTGCTGCTTGCATTTCTTGCCGTCTTTTTTTACATATTATATTTTGGTGAAAAGTGTGTCTCTAGCTTAAAATCAGCCAGAAAATGAGGGAAATCGTTCACTTGCAAGCTGGTCAGTGTGGCAATCAAATTGGCTCAAAGGTACGTGGCGCGAAATTTTTTAGGGGACTAAAGGTCTGATTATGGTAACTTAACGTAACTTAGAGGCTGTCACTTAAAAAATATCTTTAATGGTTTGTGCCTACATATATTTGGACAGGCGAAACTTAACGTAAATTAATGCCACGTCGTAGTCTGTTTAGTTTGATTTCCTAAGTTCTAAGCTACGTTAAGTTAAAATAAGTTGCCATTATCAGGCCTTAACTTAGAAGTAGACTATATATGTAAGTATGTATATGTATGTACCTACGTACATACCTACACAGATTTATCTAAGCGTATGGAAATATTTATTTAGGTATTAGTACAAATTTTTCTAACAAAAAGTTAATGTACCATTAGATATGTAGTAATATATTGTATATATTTGTTTAGCCATGAAACGAAGCTCGCTTCAGTTTTTGCGGAGAAAGTTTTGTGTTCTAGGGTAAATGCAACCTCTACTTTCTCATTAAACAAAAGTTATAATTTAAATATGTACATGTCTGCAATACATACTACATACATATATATATATGTATGAATGTATTTGAAACCGAAAATTCGCTTTATTTAGGTAAAAGTAAATTTTTGTTGTTCCTTCGCCGTTGGCTTCTCACAACTTGGCAAGTCATTTCGCCACAAAAAAAATATGACGCATATATTCAGTGCTTTGCTTTCTTTTGCTCAAGTTTTTTCCGACATTTTTCTCCCAAATGCCTTATAATTAGCTTGTGTAAAGAGTTCCGCTACTATTTATAAACAAACAAACTAACAAGTATTCAAAATTCTTTACAAATTTGCCATCACTCGGAAATTCTGTTATGTTCACGAGGGGTCGACCACCCATTTGCCGCACATTGAAAGCGGTTTCTTCTAACCTCAAATATTAATTATAAAATTACGAAAAGCAGCTGTGGCAAAAAACAAAGCGGATAACGAGCAAAAGCAGACGAATGAATACAAGTGGAAATAAGAATGAACTGAAATTGCCACAACCGGCCAAGGTGTTGCTCTCCGTAATAAAGCATTGGCTCTCTTATGATTGAGTTGTTTTGGACGTGCAAAGTGAGAAGTGGAAAAATGGGAAATGTGACAAAAATATGTGCATTTGTATGTTATCGCTCAGCGCTGCAGCACTGCGATTCACTTTGCACTATCTTATGTTTTATCTTTTATTCTGTTACGTCAAATGACCAGCTCAGCAACCAAATGTCTGAACTAAATAGCTGCTAGTGAATACGTACATTAGGGTGGTCCAAAATTTCGTGTGAAAAAAGTAAAGTTTGATATTTATTGCTCTCACCCCCTAAGATTATTCTATATCGAACAAATATACCTACCTTTGTTTTTCATTTTTAAATAAAAAAAATGTCTGGAGGTCGCTCAAAATTTTACATGTAGATAAGTATCTTATATGTGGAATAAACCATTATTCGTAGAAATGGTACAGATTTCTTGAAAATCATTATTTTTCGAGTGAAAAATTCTGTTTTTCTTCCGGAGACTTCCAATAATAACACCTAATTGTATATTTTACAATTCTTTATGGGTCTCCATTGCATTTTTGGGGTCTGTATTTGGGTAGGATATCTATGCTAGTGACCGGACACTTTTGTCTTTTTTTGCCTGAAATAAGAAAACCGTTGACAATTTTGAATTTTTAAAATTTTTAATCGAAGTCAGCCATGATTTGTAACGGGGCCGCAAATATTAGCTCCGATCCAGCACTCCATGAACTTACAGGATTTTACACGAACTTGCAGGAAGTTACAGGAAAAATGTTCCCGTACTCCAAAGTCCTCCAAAATCCTGTAAATGAGAGCGACTTTTGGAGAGTTGTGTAGAGAATGAAGTTGCAAGATTTTACCCGAACTTTTTCTTCTGGTAAAATCATGAAAAGTGTCAAGCAATCACTGGTTGACGTTTTTACAGGAAAAATGGTTTTTTTGTTCCCGTACTTTTTGTTGTTACTCACTTTTTACTCTCACTTCAGAGAGTAATTTTGCTGTTTGACAATTTTACAGGATTTTTCACGAAAAGTATTGGATCAGAGCTATTATTTCATTTGAAATGCATCACAGCTTTTACTAAAACGCGATCAGTTTGTGTTTGTGTGAAAACGTCCGGATTTTTATTTTTTCGGTAGCGATATATGTATACATTTAAGCAACGTAGATTTAAAAATCCAATTCATGTAAGTACTTTTAAATTCGAAAGCGTCAAGTTTTGATGAAAAATAGTGCAAAAGTCATTTGTGATATAAATTTTACCAAAAAGTTAATGGTAAATTATTTAAATTGATTGTGTGGCTGATAGGATACCAAATTAGCGCATATTTCAGTTATATTTCAGTATTGACAAATAACTCGATTTCGTTAACCGAACACCTAAATTTTTCATTACTGTAACGGTTTTTAACGCTCTCGTGGCTAAATTTTATATATTTTTAGAATGAATAATGCGGATTCAGGACAAGCGAACCATGGTATGGGCATTCGCAAAGCTGCTAGTGTTTGCGGTATTCCGAAATCAACTATTCAAGACCATGTTAAGGTCATAGTTTCTGAGTCTACAGTCTGCTGGGTCTTTAGTTTCGGTCCGAAATCCCATCTAACGAGCGAGGAGGAGAAAGAAATAGTTGAGTAGATTTTGAATATATGCACATGTGGGTTTCCTTTGAAAAAGGATTATATTCTTAACATGGTCCAAAAAATCATAAAAAATAGTGGATGGAGAACCCCATTCAAAGATGGTAGCCTGCTCAGACGTGGCTAAAACTATTTTGCAAGCGCAACCCAGGACTTTCAATCCGCTTTCGGAATCTTTCTTCCTCCTATTGTAATTTTTCCTTAGTCGAGGCCACAAAAAGAAATTGTAAACAGTATTCCAGAAGAATAATTTCTAGGCCGTACAAAAAGCGGGTGGATGAAAAGCGTCACCTTTTATGAGTACGTAGCAAATTGTATCGACAAATGGTTAAATTAAGAAAGCATAAAGAAGCCTGTTATATTGTTTCTTGATGGACGCAAGTCACACTGAATCGCAGCCGGTTCTGTGATTCCCATGGTATTATATTATACGCTTTGCCCCTTTATATAACGCATTTATTGCCGACGTTAGCCTATTTAAGCCTTTAAAGACATATTGGAAGCAGACAGTTGTTGAATGGCAAAGAGACCATATAGGGGACTTTCTTATTAAAAAAGAAGTCTGTCCGTTATTGTACAATGATGAGCAACAAAAATAAACGCCATGGCTGAAAGGAAAAGAAAACGATTAGCTAAGAGGAACCTTTAATAAAAAAAGACGCCTAAACAAAGGAAGTCTTTAAAAAAAGATAGAAATATACCTGACATGCTTGGATAAACTCACTAGCGATGTAGATGGCGACAACTTAAAGAATACTGGCTGAGACACTTGCTCTCATGGTATCTACGGAAATGCACCGCGTTGAAAAACCTTTCATATTCAGAAGCTGCCAAAAGCAAGTTTATATGTACTTTGCGTTCCAAATGAACATTTATTTTTTCTGAACTAGTCAAAACTGTTCACCTTTTATTGTGAATTCCTGTTATTTTTACAATAAAACCGTTATTTTTGAGTTTGAAGACTATCGTTTATATAAAAATAGAGTGTCCGCACAATAAATTTCTAACGTCCGCTCAGTAAAAAAAAACTGTCTGTCACTAAAGAAATTTGGTTTTTTTCAGAAAATTTATTTTTATACAAAATTTAATTCTTTTTCATAAAATTCACCTGCTTTAGTTAATTTAGAATTACAATTAAATCTCTTTTTATGCCGATTTGAATTTATGCGGTTTTTCAAACTATTTTTTCGCTGTAACGATTTTGCCCTTTTGAGAGTTTTTATTATTTTCTTTGAGTGTGTAAGAGACAATGCCTTTGATAAACAATTTGTCTTTGTATTATTACATAATTCATGTATTTATTGTGTTTTTTTTTTATTAAAATACAGATCCAATTTTTTTATTTCATTAATGTTCAGTTTTACATGGATAACAAGTGTTTAATGAATGAAAGTAAAGAACTTTATGCATATGCTTTCTATACGGCTTTATGAGGAGCGCATATAAAAAGAGACCTAAGTGTAGTTCATAATCCCATATTGATTAAAATTTTTTTCCTCCGATAAACAGGTTGCAATATACGACAGACTAAAAATGAACAAGTAAGAAAAACGTACGTACGGGCGGAGCCGAACATTAAAACCCGGCGCAAGTATTAAATATATGTTTTTCATCTTTCCGAAAACTACCGCTACATGGTAAGCCGGGGTGTATCAATTTTGAGTAAATTAGCATCCCTAAATTTCGAAATATTGAAGTTTCAAGCATTTCTGTAATTTACCGTTATATGAAAAGCGGCCGTAATTTTAGTCCGATTTCAATAATTTTCAACGTTTTGCTTTTATGTGGCAAGCAAAATAACCATACCGAGTTTGGTACAAATTTGTAGAACGGTTACCAAGATACATATATGTGATCATAAGTGGGCGGTGCCACGCCCATTTTACAAAATGTTATCATATACGTATTTCTTGGTAAAGAATTGTTGTAAAATCATCAATTTTGAATAAATTAGCTTTAATATTTACTGATTTATCGAAGATTTCGTTTCGTATCGTATTTTGTATATCTAAATTACCGTAATATACCCTTGTGCACAAGTGCGCTCGGGTATAAAAAAATTAATTGTCCGGTCACTAGCATAATTAGATATAGAAAAATTTTAGGGGGTGAGGACTTTAAAATATGGCGTGCACTTTTTTGACTCCCTAATGTACATACATATGTATACATATACATACATACAAATGTATCTGGCACATGCTATATGTATGTATATTAATACGTTTTTGCTTTCTAATAACACGTAAGTGACGTGTTTGCCATGCAGCCGCCGTTCCATCATTTGCGGCTTTTCTCATTTTCTGTTTGGTAGAGAGTATTTTACATATGTACTTCTTGCTTTTACAACTC